TAAAATTTGAACATAATCAGTGAAAGCAAGTCAGAGATATGGCACGAGAACCACATTCATTAAAACAAAATGGCCGCCAGTCGGCCATTTTGAATCTTATCTGAAAAACAAAATTATTTGCATTAAGGTCCCATAATGTCTAATGTATATACCAAGTTTGAACAAAATCCATCTGTAAACAGCCGAGAAATGCTTGATTTTGATGATGTTTTAGCACAAAAATGGCCGCTATTCGGCCATCTTGAATCAGATCGTGAAACAAATTGATGTGCATATGTATACTATCATGTATGATGTATGTGTGAAGTTTGATTGTGATTGGTCCAGGTATTTTTAAGATACAGGTCTGGACGCACGCACAGACGCACGGACGCACAGACACACGCACGGACACACAGAGGTCAAAACATAAGTCCTCGTTTTCGGACTGCGTCCGAACGGGGACTAATAAGTATTCTTGAAACTCAAAATGATCGCCAGTCAGTCAGTCATCAGTTTTGTAGAAATCCACAAAAATAATGGAATTGCCTCAGTAAGGCAACAGATATTCCAAGTTTGAATAAAATCGATCTGTGCAACACAAAAATAATGCTGTACACACAAAAAATGTACATTTTTAGGTCATTTTGGGATCACCAATTGCCCAATTAATAAAAAAATGAGGTGCAATCATATATATATTAATTATACATTAGTACTTAAAAATACAGTTTTTACTGGAAGCAATTGTCACTTGCTTATGGGAAAAAAAGTAATTGCTGTTGAACTCTCTCAATGTCATGGTAAACACCATCATAAAAAAAAAAATGTATCGTATATGTTAAATTCCTAATACAGCAGAAATGGGGGAAAAAAAGGTTTCAAACTTCTGATCAAAACTTGCGAATAATATAAAATGTTAGAAACAGAAAATGGAGGAATTCAGATAAAAATTGCTTCTGCAATTTGTTACTGAAAATGTTGCACTGAAAACAAAACACTGCAGGCAACGTAAAGCAGGTCAGCTTCCTTAAAAGAGAGGCAAATTAACAAATGGAAGGCAAAGGTTTAAACTAACAGCTTGGCAGGAATCCACATATGAAGGTCAAATACGTGATAAATTACTTCAAAACTAATAAGCTTCAATATGAATTAGACCTTGATTTATATTCAGTAATAGCGGGTAAATTAATCTAACTGTAAATAATGGAGATGAGACACTATTACAAGAAATCACATTTCCTAATAGGGTTTGAACTTTTGAATGACACTTGTATCGATTAAAGAGTTTCCTGACGTCATACACGGAAGCCAAGATCCATTCACTGGGGGGGCTTTCAGTGGGTTGCTGGAACCCAGATAAATATAGACATATAGAATAGAACAGAATGTTTTATTAATACCGTAAAGATAATGTGACGTTTCTTTTATGGTTAACAACTTAATAAAGTTTTTACATAGTTGAGCGATCATAAAACTATCCGTAAAGGTGAGACAATTTACAATATGTGTATAGCATATGTTATTTATAATGTATTCCTTATGCTGTAACCAGGGATTTTATTAAAAAAGGGAACATGGGCTCACCCCTCATGCCATGGCCATGTGCCCCCTTACCCTGGGGAGCAGATCTTCTGGCAACCATACAATTCTCATCGACCAGGGATCACATGTGGCCACAGTCAACAACTGTGACCTGTCTGATAGTAATGTTGCCCCAAGGAAGCCATAGAATGCTCCATTTTAACTTAGAATTATCAAAAACTTCACACCCTGGTAGAGTAGGGAGAACATTATCTCTCCCACTTGGTGGCGTCGCTGAATTGCAGTGCTCCCTCTTGCAGTTTTTTTTCTAGAAAAATCCCTGTTGTAACACTGTTCAATGTATTTTAAGGTTTCTTTGATTAATGAGCTGTTTTTATTACTCATTATTTGTATGAATTTGTTATAGTTAGTTATACTTTGGAATCATCTATACAGGATTTGGCTGTTGCATATAGAATATTTCTGTTGTTTGCATTCTGTTGTGAAATGTTCTTCATCTTCAATTTTGGCACAGTTTTGGACAAGTTCTGCTTTGTACTGGTATTTTAGGTTTCAATTTTCAGTTTGTGGCAACTCATTTTATAATTTATATAATTTATTTGATGCCATGCCTGTGTCAGTTTCTTTTTCAAATTATTATTATAGTTTTAGCTTGGTAATGAACTCTCACAAGACCAGTTCATAGATTGTTGATAAATGACTCTTAAACAAAGTCTTGCATACATGATATTGCGGTACTTTTTCACTGGATGTAACACTTATGATGTAAAACTCAGTGCAGATGTTTATAAATAAGACTTGTAGGCATGGCAAATTACAGTAGCATGTGGAAATTTCCAGCAATGCAACTCGGAGCAGTTTACCGACCCCGTAGGATAATTTTCAAAGCTAGTTGCATACAGCTGTACTGGTATTTCTTATAAAATGACACAAACTCAAAACCAATTTTTTTCACATTTTGTCAATTCCTGCAGTCAATGTGGAATGATGTCTATTGGGTCCAAAATTAAAACAGAAATTCAAGAAAATTGCATGAAAAATATTAGCAGGTTAAAAAACTGGTGATGAAACACTCGAACTCTAAAAATTGTTGAAAACCTTTAACCAAATATACATGTATACTGTACATGAGAATAATTTGAATACTAGTAATTCAGTTTCAGTACAAACCGACAAATACTATATACAATGGTTCAAACATATTCAAGTGTACTGATGTTCAAAGCTCACAGGGTGTGCGCCCTCTATAGGGATAAAAAATAATTAGAAAGAACTGCTGTGTGCTGAAACATAGTAGGCATAGGTGGGAGGCAAAGATAAGATAATTAAAATATTTAAAATTATTAAGTATTAAATTAATTTGATTAATGATACAAAACAGAGATATCCTTAAGTTTAGCTTGACTAAGTTAAATTATATCTTGCGCCATATACAGTGAACAAAATCAATTATTGAGTATGCAAATGAGATAATTAATTAGTGGAACTGTTAAGTTATTTAAAGGGGCACCTTCCAGTTAGGCTTAATTTCACAACAAATTTACTTTCTGGATTAAAATAACAATGGATTACAAAAGATAGATTAACATTGTAAACAACATAAACAATAGTGTCCCATGATTCTTTGGTGCAATCCATGGGATTGAGCGGTTCCCTTTTAAAATGTGTATGATAATTTTAACATAATTAAGAGTGATTTCCTAAGAGCAAAACAATTTTTTTGGGGAGATATAAGAGGGTTAACATGTACCTCACATGTAGGTTACTATTATGCAAATTATTTTGCATAAATCTTCATGAAAATGGAGACATAACATGTCTAAGTTTAAGTATATTTATATATAAGTTGAAGTTGTAGCCAGGTTATCCTTAATATGATACTACAAAATGCATTTTTAATTGTTTGCTCAACTGCAAAATCTCATAAATTAAATTAAAAAAAAAAATGCTGTGTTCTACGAAACAAATAAATGTAAATACATCAGATATAAGATGTTTGTATGATCTAGTGAAAATATGAACGAGCTCTCCTTTTTGATATGAGCAGATTGATCAATTAACTTGACAAACAAATGTTATGCTTCAGGGTTAATTTCATGAGAATCACTGAGATCAATATTAGTCACTGTTATAATAAAAAATACTCGACAACAGACCACCATAAAATAACAGTAGTGAATATAGGTCATTATAATTTGTATTTGTACAAGATTAGCCTGGAATTCAGTATGTCCAGTCTACTCAAGAATGACCTGGTGAAACGCTACGCAAATTCGTAGACATTGGCTGTCTCCATGGAAACTCATATGCACATGACTTGTACGTACGGCATGCCCATAGCCCTGCTCGTCTATTATTATTAGATTTTTCAAAGTCTCATGATAATAGACGACATTTAGTCAAGTACAAGAATTAAACAAAATTGCTCTATATATGCGTCATTTTCACCCAATTTTTGAACAAAAATAACCCATTGTGCTGAAAATATACTATATAATATAATATATAATAATGATCATAATGCAAATTTGGTTATTAATATACATGAACACAGACCATAAACTAATCAGGTCTGAGAGACATCTCATGCACAATTTGAAAAAATAATAACACAAGTATAGCAGTCTCTTAGCTAACGCTATACTATCAGGATCACCCACATTACCCACATATTGATCTAGACAGTGTATGCAGATGCTCTGTATTGATCTAGACAAGGTATGTAGACGATCTGTATTGATCTAGAGTTGACAGTGTCGATCTAGAAATCACTGTATCGATCTAGAGATCACCGTGTTAATCTAGAAGTCTCGGTATCAATCTGGGGATCACTGTATTTATCTAGAGATCACCGTGTAGATTTAGGAATCACTGTGTTGATCTAGAGATCAAGGTGCTCATCTAGAGATCAAGGTGCTCATCTAGAGATCAAGGTGCTCATCTAGAGATCAAGGTGCTCATCTAGAGATCAAGGTGTTCATCTAGAGATCAAGGTGTTCATCTAGAGATCAAGGTGTTCATCTAGAGATCAAGGTGTTAATCTAGAGATCAAGGTGTTCATCTAGAAATCGCTGTGTTGATCTAGAAGTCTCGGTATCAATCTGGGGATCACTGTATTGATCTAGAGATCCCCGTGTAGATTTAGGAATCACTGTGTTGATCTAGAGATCAAGGTGTTCATCTAGAGATCAAGGTGCTCATCTAGAGATCAAGGTGTTCATCTAGAGATCAAGGTGCTCATCTAGAGATCAAGGTGCTCATCTAGAGATCAAGGTGCTCATCTAGAGATCTAGAGACCGGTGCGCAGCAGAGGTCGATGCAACCACATACTGTCTTTGTGCATACTTTGCAGTATCATCTTTATTATTATACACCTTTCCCTCCCATTATTATTATTATACATCTTTTCCTCCCAGAAATACATCATGGGAATGCCAAAATCCAAAACGTTTAGAACAGATTTAGCAAACTTATTTGTGTGGGGTCTAGTGAAACCCTGGGGGCAGCCATGCTTATGTAATTATTTCCTAATATGGTAGAATGAAAATACCCAGTGCAATATTGCAAAATTATGGGACGCTGTAATTTATGGTGTTACGGTGACAGATATATAATAATTCATTATACTTCAAGCATAATGATACTTTGTACTAAAACTGATCTGTAGAAAGTTACCGATGTTACATAGGACCCACAGACGAACAATTAAAACACAACCTTCACCCCGTACCCCCAGGTACTGCCGGCTCCCATCACAAACACTTCCCACGTCTCTCCCAGTCTCACCACCTGTAATCATCTCTACCTAGGAACAAGAATTGGTGAAAACATAACATAATACTTACATAATTTACCAGTTAAAGTTTGAAGATGTTGTCTTCCATATAAATGTTCTTTTTTGTTATGTAAGGAACTGAAATACTGGTTACAAGTCTTACAATACAAATCGTTTGGATCATCGTCCTGTAATATTGTGTAGTGAGAAAAAAGAAAGAAATGAAAATAATGCAAACTGTTATCTCTCAGTTGATATGATAGTGTAAATATATTTAGGTTGATTTACATGATCCAATTTAGTCGATCTGATTTATCTGTTGAAATAAATCTGCAGAACCTGAGAAGATTATTTAAAAAATCATATGTAATGTCATCCGATTAATCAGATGAGATTGATCTAATCCCATTAAACACATACATGTACATGAATTTACTTATATTAGCACAGCGAGTGAGTTCCTTGAAATGCACTCTAATCAACATACATTGAAATAAGATCACATTACTGATTCACTTTCTACTATCCATCCATTACTCACCTCTAAAGCTCCTAAAATACTGGCTACTTCTTCTGAATCTATACTAGAACCGTCATCTAGTCAAACAAGGAAAAAAAAAGTTTAATAAGCTATATAAAAAGAAAATTAGCACACAACATAATTAATAGTATATTTTGCTTTTTTACAAATGCATATGTTTATGCAAATAGATGTATCGGTACCTCTGCTGTATAGTAAGACACTTGAAAATATCAGGGTTTTTTTCACTAAAAATAGAGAATTGAAGGTACCGTAACAAAATGAACAAATCTGTTTAAGGTCCACTCGAGGTGTCTAAATATTCAAATGAATTAGAGATATGAAGATAACTTCACAAAATGAACAAATCTGAGGGAGGTTCTGCGATGTGCATGTTTGAAATGCAAAATTGTTAAACGCAATAAAATCGTGCGTAGAACGCGTAGTTCCTGCAAGAAATTAGTAGCGCACAACTAGTTGTTTTAAAGTAGACAATATGTTAGGCTCTGTATATTTCTATATAATGTTTCCAAGGTTCGTTAAAGATTATTCTGTACAGAAATTGATGAAATGATTTCACCTATTTGTAAAACCAGGCTTTCTCGCTCAAATTTGTCTGCCATTTTTTTTCTTATATTCTTTAATATTTCTTGAAATGAACCCTAATTTTGGAGCCAACAAAAACAAAATTTGAGTAAACTTTCAGTTTTAACAAAAAAAAATTGGCTATTTTTGCCCCAATCTTCTGAAGGAAAATATAGACTATTAACTAGCACTATTTTTTTTTGAAAATTTGTAATAAAAAGAGGGACCTGGTGGTGAAAAGACTAAAACACTAATCACCAACCAACTTGTACTTTACATCTGTTTATTATGTATATGTATTGAATTGGTATTTGTAACAAAGATAACAAAGGAACACAGAGCTACACATGAAAACACTGGGGTTATACTTACTTAGTTTTTTGGCAGCTTGTCTTTTTAAAAAGGCTTGATAAGCTTCAGTCTGTTGATATGCTTTTAACTCATCAATGTACCGCTTCTTGTCATTTTCAGCTTCTTCTACATATTTCTGTATCACAATAATAAATACAAGTCATGTCATGTTATGTCATGTCCATGTTAGTTCAACAACAAACCAAACTGAAATGAGACAACCTTTTGAAATCAAAACAAATTACATTATGTATAATGTAGTTGCATGTGTGCAATACAATATATATATCAAGTTTTAAATATGATCAGTGAATGCATGTCAGAGATATTGCTTTGGAACCATGTTCATTAAAACAAAATATTCCTGGCTTCTTGTTGGGAAAGTTTTCAACAATTTTGTTATGGAGCAGTGTGTATACATTTCTTAAATGTTGATCTGAAAAAACTGAAAATCTGATAATTTCTTTTGTTTTTTTATATTTACAGTGGCAAGACGTACAGTTCTACAATACACTTCATGTATACAATATATGGTTAAACGGTGGTGGTCACCATGCTGCATCATGGGTAATAAGGGTCCTATGGTGAAATCTACAAAAAGCGTAAACTACATCGTTTGTTTACATGAAGTTCAAACAAAGACTGCTTGACAGCCATCACCATTTAACAATCTTTAAGCAATATACGCAAGAATTTTAATCAATGAATATCGTTGATATCTGGATGTTTGACACTCACTCATAATACACTGTTATCTATTTCCTAATTTATACAGTGTGTGTATCCTCAGCTTTCAGCCAACCTATCGTACACATACACTCATATATCAAATTGAATATTGTCCATTTTTTAACACACTCATCATGCCTTGTATCGCACCACATTGGGAATCGAATAGGCTGGCTTGGCCACAATATATTTATTTTGAATTATACAATTTCTTTAAAGAAATGACCTTATAGACGTTGGTCATTAGGCGGTGATATGTACCTGTATAACGTATGTGATTCCCCAGAAAAAGATTAAATTGCTACTGCAAAGTTTAATTTTGAAATACAAAGGTACAAAACAAGGTCGATGGAATGGCAAAGAATATGCAAACCAAATGCATTAAACGTGTCAATGGGAACGTGAAAAAACTGACAGTGTGATTTTGGCACATATAGACCCCTGGCTGATGTTCTCCTGAATAAATCCATGGACTCAAGGATTCACCCCTTAAAGAATTCTGGGACAGATACCTGTTTGTCTTCTGCAGACATTGATGACCACTGACTTCCTAAAAGCTTAGTGACTTCTGTAAATGCCATTTCCGGATTCTCCTCTTTCACTTTCACTCTCTGCTCATTTAAATATAAAACATATCTAATGGGAGGAAAAGATGTTATTCGTCAAAAAAAAAACCCAAAAAAACATTTTTTTAACTTGAGAGAAAAACTTTTATAAATTGTCAGAAAAAAATCGTGATATTTATAGCACTGAGAACTTCATAGACTTCACAGTACCAGTAAAAACTGAATAAATTCAAAGATTAAAAATAACATGCGTACTTAAATAGTTTAAATTTATAAAAAAAGCTATATTTCACAAATTACAAAACAGATTCCAGCACAGTTTACTTACGCGGTTGTTGGCGCTTTGGGGGATCCTGTATCTTTGGCACTTTTTTTTCTTTTTTTTCCTTTTGGCCATCCACCTTTCCTTTTCTGTTCACGGAAACCAAAAAAAGAAAGAGTAAATACAATAACACACAGTACCTAATGAAGTTAGTTTTTTAACTAACAGCCAAATGCTCCTAATCATTAAAAAAAAAAATTGGGGAAAAATGGGCCTAAAACTGAAATTTTATGCAAAATCAATATATATACATGTATATCAATATATATCTATTGTAGTGACCCTACAAAATCAGATTTATTAAGCAGTGTAGTAATATTCATTTGTTTCAAGCATTCGCATGCAAAATATATACCATATTTATCCGAGTAAGAGCCCAGGGTCCTGAACATAGAAAATTGCCAAAAAATAGGTGTGGGCGTTTGCTCGGGCATGAGCTCTTACCCGGATAAATACGGTATGTCCACCCATTTGCAATAGAACAATATAATCCTGCAATCAAACATTTCATTTTAAATTACATAATCTCAAGCACAACTATACATGTATGTATATTACATTAGGGTATTGATCCATTTCCACATGCCCAATGAAAGTATGTACAAAATGTACAAACTGAATGCAAATTTTAACAAGCATTCACTCAAATGCAAGATTCTACATAATGTGTGAAAGATGTGGTTTGAGCAATACAGGGCAGGAAATTCCTGCCTGTCCGCACGCTCGAGATGGGTAACTTTGGTATTGAACTGGTTGAATTTCAAACTTCCCTGTCCGGTGGTCGGGTAACATTTGATCACATTCTTCTGTCGAAATTAAAATAAAAACAAGCTATCATTCTTTACCATTATTCTCTACCATGTGCTCTAAACATTTTAAACAGAAACGTGATCAGCCAAAACAATGAAAATATTGCATTGCCGACTGGGTGACACGCATTCTCAACCCACAACACAGAATCCATTGACTTATTAATTAAGTACTCTCAGTAAATTCATTGCAAGATTGGTTAAAATGAAATGTAGCTATTTCAAATGTATTTTAGAGCAGGCCTTGTCCTCACTCAAAATGAATTAAGACAGGTTTGATACAATTCGGGTTTAACCAGTCCTCATGAAACTGGGCTTCATACAAATTAATAAACTTCTCAATATTTTTTTCATTCTTTTCTGTATAGTGTTGTCAGATGAGAAAGTCTCTCTTCTCATACATTTAAACAATGTTCTGGTAGAACAACAACACACTCTCGATACATATGTTTAACAGCAAGGAATGAATAACTTTACAAACCGTTACAGTTATCCGTGGTTCCTCAATTCCCTGACCGTTATTACTGTCGTTAATGTTAACATCACAAGTGGAGGCGCTGTTCAGATTTGGTACACCACCAAGACTACCACTGTCTAGATGGTTACTAACTGTTTCGGCTTGCACTTCAAACAGATGGGGACCTTGAGCGTCAACAACCGTTGCCTGGTTAACTAACAGTTGATGAGCTACAGATGAACAGACAACGATTAATAAACACTAATTTCAACACTTGTTTAAAGGGTGGTGGTTGTCACGCTACGCATGTGCGACATTTGTGTTGATAAACATTGATTTTCCCACAATCCAATGCGCTCTTCTAATCAAAATCACAAGTATGAAGTTTGACCCGGGCGCGACTAGCACTAAATACCGCTCATGGCTCCTTCGATACCTTCTAAACACCTAATAAAATACCTAATTATAACTTGGTAACGTCTCAGTATGTACTCATTGATCTACACAACAGTCAAAGTCGCCATCTTTGTTTATATGAGACCCATATATCTCGCGCATGCGGGGCGCGTTGACTACCGCCCTTTAAACTATGATAAGTATGAGAACATATAAATTTTAATATTATCGTTTGATACTGTATGTCAATGAATAAATTAGATTATGATTTTATCATAAATTGAAATCGTTGTTTTCATAAGCAGCCATTCGATAAAACAATGATGAAATTTTCTGTTAAGCATGTGCACTGATTGATTGTATGTACATGTACAAAAATGATCACTGCTGATGTATATTAGCGAGCATGTGTTTTGCACAATATTTTTTATTAGTTTATATACAAGTCGAAAAAAACCAAATTTCAAAGAATCCACTTTGAATACATGCCAATAGAACCCCAATACGATTTTCACTATACACTGTAATAGTGTTTGTTTCTGTTTTGTGTTTGTCACTTTAGCATTACATCATGTGATTAATTATTCATTAAGTCAGATGACATCACTTTAGCATTACACCATGTGATTAATTATTGATGAAGTCAGATGACATCACTTTAGCATCACACCATGTGATTAATTATTCATTAAGTCAGATGACATCACTTTAGCATTACACAATGTGATTAATTATTGATGAAGTCAGATGACATCACTTTAGCATTACACCATGTGATTAATTATTCATGAAGTCAGATGACATCATTAAGCATTACATCATGTGATTAATTATTCATGAAGTCAGATGACATCACTTTAGCATTACACCATGTGATGAATTAATCGTGAAGTCAGATGAGATCACTTTAGCATTATACCATGTGATTAATTATTCACAAAGTCAGATGACATCACTAAACATTACATCATGTGATTAATTATTCATGAAGTCAGATGACATCACTAAGCATTACATCATGTGATTAATTATTCACGAAGTCAGATGACATCACTAAGCATTACACCATGTGATTAATTATTCATGAAGTCAGATGACATCACTAAGCATTACACCATGTGATTAATTATTCATGAAGTCAGATGACATCATTAAGCATTACATCATGTGATTAATTATTCATGAAGTCAGATGACATCACTTTAGCATTACACCATGTGATTAATTATTCATGTAGTCAGATGACATCACTAAGCATTACACCATGTGATTATTTATTCATGAAGTCAGATGACATCACTTCAGCATTGCATCATGTGATTAATTATTCATGAAGTCACTTTCCCAACATACCTTAAAATACCTTAAAATATACAGCCGTAAAACATTGGAATTCTCTACCTGAGCCAATCAAACAAATTACTAATAGAATAACTTTCAAAAGTTCCCTAAAACAACATATACTGAACAACGTAC